TTCATGGTCGGGTGCTATGGACTATGATCCATGATATGGATCGATGGCTCAAAAAGAAGTGTATATGAAACAGCCTTAAAGTTCTATTGTACCTTGTAATAAGTATAAAAATATATACATTCATATGTATGGTAATGAAAGCACATGGACACTAACATCAATTTTTTTTTTTTTTGAAAAATGGAAAGGCATGACTCCTGATAGTAAATACTACACACGTATAGAAATGAATATACAATCCAAAGGTTTATCGTGTTAAACAAATTATAGAACTACTTTATAAAGTTTGTATGCCAAATTTAAATGCAAACCATTTTTAAAATTAAATATAAAAATAATCAGAGAAGGTTAATTATTTATTTGTTTCCTTAGAAGACACTTTTAAGGGTATATAACAAATCATAAAATATATTTTTCAAAAATACTCCACATTTCATTTTATTTGGCATTCGCAACCTTTCACATTAATTGAGATTTTTATTAAGATACACAACTTTTTATTTTATGTGGCATCACAGTCTTTAGAATTAATTGAGATTTTTGTTAAGATACACAACCTTTCATTTTATTTATTAAGAAACACAATTTTTCCTTCTTTTTTTTAAAGAGACACAACTTTCCATTTTATTTTGCCTTTACCATATTTCACATTAATAGGCGTTTTTATTAAGAATTACAACTTTTCATGTTATTTGGCATTCACAACCTCTGGAATTAATTGAAATTTTTATTAAGATACAGAACTTTAGAATTAATTGGTATTTTTATTAAGACACACAATCTTTCATTTTATTTATTAAGAGACACAGCTTTTCATTTTATTTTATTAAAAGACACAACTTTTCATTTTATTTATTAAGAGAAATAACTTTCATTTTATTTTACATTTACAACATTTCACATTAATTGATATTTTTGTTAAGAGTCACAACATTTCATCTTGATTGACATTCACAACTTTTAGAATTAATTGAGATTTTTTATTAAGATACACAATTTTTATTTTATTTGACATTCACAACCTTTAGAATTAGTTGAGATTTTTATTAAGTGACAACCTAAGAGACACAATCTTTCAGTTATTTCTTTAAAGAGACACAACTTTTCTTTTTATTTTGTATTTTCAACCTTTCACACTAATAGACATTTTTATTAAGAGTCTCAATTTTTTTTTATTTGGCATTCACAGACTTTTAAATTAACCAAGATTGTTATAATTAGTAGATTTTTATTATGAGAAGACACAACTCTTATAACTATTTTAAATATTTTTAAATTATTTTTAAATTATTTTTAAATTATTTTTTCTGAGACACAATTGTTTTTATAATGAAAAGATGCAACTTTTAAACTAATATATTTCATTTTTATGAAGAGATATAACCTTTCAAAAATTGTTATGAGAAGACACAATTCTTACAACCTCTTTTAAATACTTTTAAACTATTTTTTATGAGACACAAACTTTTTTTATAATGAAAAAGATGCAATTTTAAAAATAATAGAAATTATTTTA